TCTCTCCCTAGAATACATGCGTTAGCTTACAAAAATTAGCTATAGCATAAAGGTTACTAACAAACAAATCTAGGCAAAGGCGAAGAACATATACCCTGTCTGCGCTACTACCTATGCCCTCTACAAGGTTCCCTAGAATCCTGCGAACTAACACTATAAACACTTTAGTAAGCTTGTTACAGTTAACACCTAGAGTCCTTACCCTGTCCCTAGAATTAAAGGAGAGCGCTACGCATTATTTCTTATTAATAACACCACACGTTTTACGTAGGTTTAATTCTTCAAGAATAAGCATGCTCTCGCCTAGATATTTACGAACCTTCTTACCCGCCTGTCTACTAAGCACAGCCAGCCTATTGTGCGCATTTGGTGTAACAACAAGTTTATGCAGAGAACAATTACTACCTACTATAACACTTATAGTATTACTATAGAGCTAAGCGTGCTGTACGCTTATTATTACGCTAGTACTGCTAAACGCTCCTACTACACCGTGCGAGAACGCACTACTACTATAATCTAAGATCTTACTCCCACTTCTGTTATAGTGCAAGGCATTATTAACTAACACAAGGAGACCCTACGCAACGCTACGTTGCCTAAAGGTCTTTAGGTGTTCGCAATATAGGAGTTAGTTAATAAGAAGAATAGAGCTTCTTTAAAGGCACTTTGTTTCTTAAAGACGCTATATAAAGCCTTATATAATAGAAAGCTAAACCTTGCTAAGGATAATGCCTAGAGAGCGCGGGTGTACGTTACTACTCCTCCTAAGCTTAATTAACTAATCAGCGTTACTGCATTACATCACCTACAAGGCTATCTAGCTTACTTCTTATACGCTCTTTATAATTAGATGTGCCTTATATAGCGCTCTAACACTTGTAAAGTTAAGCGCGTCTCTATAGCGCGCGTTAACAACTCTACTAGTTTTAATAATGTTTAACTCTATAGCATCTATATTAACAATCAAGTCCCTCTTGTTACGCCTCTAATCCCTAACAAAGCGGAGGCTTCTAACAACTCTAACTATGCCAAACTATACAACAACGTCGCTTTAATGTCTCTTTCTGGTACTATAGATACTTTTAGTGATTTGCTATACTAGTCTAACACACCTCTACCCCCTAAATTATACAGAGAGTACGCAGAAGTCAACAGTAATACTACGTGCAGCCTATGTCTCTATTCTAACTTGAAGTACGTTTAGGCAATCGCGGACAATAACAATCCCTGCACTTAATGTGCCTAACAAAACATTAATTGCAACTATTAAACCTAGTATAATCGCGATCGTCTCCTCTATAGGCGTAAGAAGAATGCGCAACAGAAGGAAAAGAGAAAGCAGCATTAGGCGGCTACACTTGCCCAACTAACAGTTTCGCCCTTCTTTAGGGGCAATACTAAGTTGTCTGCTCTGTCCAGTGCTAACAGTAACGATTTAGTTAACTACAATAGCAATAATATTATTGTCCCTGCTACACTAGAACATACTACCTACAACGACTTTAACAACCCCTATAATAACAACAACGTCGTCCCTGCTACGCTAGTACACTTACCTCTAGACAATAACGAGACTACAACTGTAGCTGCATGTAAGGGTAAATGCAGTAATAGTGTTACTGTTCCCTCTACTCCTTTCTCTACTACTCTAGCGACTATGCCTAAAGACACTTCTCTCGTTAATAAATGCTTCTAGTGTCTCTGCTGTAAAAAGAGGTGCATTTAAGACAACAACTCTTCTAGTTGTTAATAGTGTGTCTAGGATAGAGATATTTGCTCTCCTGCTACCGCAGACTACTAACAGAACTTTGCCTTATGCTGTTGTCTATACAATAAATAAGCGCGCGGTGTCTTCTGCGTGCGCCAGACTTCTAGGGGTCCTTACAATGCCTGCATCTCTAGCAATAACTATCTTAACTGCGTACCCGTATACAAGCGTATTACTCTACCTATCTTAAAGGAGCAGCGTTGCATTACCTGTTAGTCCCTAGCAAATTAGCATAGCAAGCGAGGTAGTCTTTCCGCAGTGTAATGCAATAGCTAATACCCTTACAATGTGTGCATTAACAAGTAACAGGCCTGCATTGCTATTACTAACAAGAATAACACTCCCTGCACAGAATGCATACGTAAATCTATAACATGCAATCTTGCGTTACTATATCTTAACTGCGTTAAACACTAGGATAGCTAGCCTAATAACACCTAGACAGCTCCTTAACCTTATACTCGTTTTAGCGACAATAACACTACCTAGATAGGTGTATATCTAAATAGAGCTCTAGATTACTTACCACTCTAAGTCTGTTCTAGCTGCGTGCAGAGTACATAAGACTGTACAAGCCTGCGAGATAGGCAGTCTCTATGCTACTAGTGTCTCTTAATTAACACTACTACGTATAACAGGTCCGTATATTGCATAAAGACAGACCCTACTACCTATGTTGCAAAAGACAAGCGCGCGTACTCTCTTTCTAGAGACAAAGACAGCTACAGTGTTATTTTTAACCCTACCTACAAGGGCCGGCGCATCTATAGCACTATCTAGCCTTAAGCCTCTAATTAGAATAAGTTTAACAAAGGTCTACTTAACAATAACCTGCATAGAATCAATGGCGTTTCCATAGCTACTCTTAACTTGTCCTAGCACTCTTATAACAGCTCTATTACTTAGCAGTTAGACAAAGAACCTTTCTCCCCTAACTCCTAGTACGATAACCTGCTACTTGATAATAATCTACCTACTCTACGTATGTCTAGCACGTAGTATAACGATTTGCCGCTTAACAATAACTTACGTAACCTCTACGCTCTAAGCACTACAACTATCCTCTATAAGCCGTAGACTTACAAGAAGGCTATAAATACGCCCTAAGCTACTAGTTGGCACAATGCTACTTAGGCTAAGCTTAACTCTCTTCTCGCTAAGGAAGTGTATAAGGTTGTTCTACTTCCCTCTAGAACTAAGTCTATCTCTTCTAAGTTTGTCTACAAAGCTAAACTTACTCTAACTAGCAGAATCGCAAAGCTTAAGGCCTGTATTGTTACCTAGAGTTTCTAGCAGCGACTAGGCATTAATTATACAGAGAAGTTCTTACCTACTGCAAAATCTTTGTCTATACGCACGCTTCTAGCAATCTATAGTCTTCTCTAGTAGACTACCTCCTAAGTAGATGTATACGTTACATTTCTTAATGCTAAGCTTAAGAAGCAGGTTTACTACATGCTGCTACTGCCTGTTGTCTTACTAAAAGAACACGTCTAGCTCCTCTAGAAGTCCTTCTACAGGTTAGTGCAGTCCTCTTAAGCCTAGTATTAACTTCTTATAAGTAAACTTAAAGATATAGGATTTTATACCTTACTCTATAACTTGTGTATCTACATTCATACCTAAGACACTATTATTATCTCTGTTTATGTTAATAATATTCAGATCTACGCGCTATATAATAACACTATTACCTAGTTTAAGACTTAGCTCTCTAAATCCTTTGTTATTATATCTAAAGACCTAGATGCTCTATATCTTAGTATGCATATTAAGCACACTAGCTAGAGCGGTATTAAGATTTATTAGGCTGAATATGTGCGTCGCGTGCTCAATTGGTACAGCCTTTAAAACCTCTCTATTGCTGCTAACCTATGCGATTACAAAGCAAAGCTTACGCGTAATAACGACACTAAGTCTACGCCCGCTTTTAAGAAGTAATACCTCTAGATGTTTAGCTCCCTTAACTATATGCCTGTTATAACGCGAATTAATCTCGCCTATACTACTTCCCTGTATAGGCGCTTTAATGCAAACCCTTTACAGGCACATATTAATAGTATTACACAAGCATACTTGTACGTTAGTAGTACACAGGACTTAGGCATTACATACTCTCCGCAGCAAGAGCCTTGCCTTGTTAGCTATATTAATGCAGACTAGGCTAGCTGCGCAGACTTACGGCGTTCTACTACTAGGTATATCTTCACCCTAGCTAATAGCCCTATCTCCTAGTTATCTGCTATACAGAAGGTTGTTGCACAGTCTACGTGTAAGGCAGAATATATAGCACTAGAAGAGGCTGTTAAAGAAGCTCTCTAGCTTTAAGCATTTATTAACAACCTTAGCGTTAGCCTCTATTTTAGCACTATCCTAATTTACGTAGATAATTAGTCTGCTATAAAGCTGTCTAAGAACCTAGAGTTTTATTAACGCACTAAACATATCAATATCTGTTACTATTTCCTCTGCTAACACGTTTAGGATAGAACTGTGTCTATAGAATAGATTAGCGGTAAGAACAACTCTGCGGACATGCTTACTAAGCTACTAGATCCTACTAAGTTTATAGCTATGTGCAAGATTCTTAGTCTTGTTTACTAAGACCCTCTACATAGTATAGGCTAAGGCCCTCTACGTCTTGCTATAAGTGTAGTTACTGTTATACCTTAGAACTGTATAAGCGATAACAACAGGGCTCTCGCTCTATAGACCGTTTTCCTCTAGAATACCTACGAAGACGCTAACTACATAGAAGCTCTTACATTAGAGTAGCTCTTCTAAGAGTCTAGTATTACCCTAGAATGCAAAAAAGCCTAGTATAAGTACGTTAGTGCTTAGTATGCATACTGCACGTATATAGAGGAAATTAAAGACCTAGACAAGAAGAAACTTATCGCCCTATATAGTAGTTTCTAGACTGCGCTTTACTTTAAGCGCACTACCTTACGCGATAATAACAACTATATCTAGTAGCCCTGCTACGGCGAGCAACTTAGGGACGCCTATAATCCTAATGCAGACTACTCCTATTATAGTACTATGCTTTAACTTGCTTTCGCGGTCTCTTGTTTCCTTTCTCTTTTTTGTTTACCTTATAATAGGTTCTAGGGGGGCTGTTAGTTAGGATTCTATCACGTGATTTACTTACTAGCGTCGCCCTAGTAGTATATATACAGGGCTTCCTCCCTCTTACATAGAACAATCATCACATCTTTCTCTTCTTGTTCTACAGCATGCCGGCATCTACAAAAGGTTCGCCTGTTTTGCCTTCATACCATTTCTCCCAGCCTGCTTGGTCGTCTTCCCACTCTACTGCGTCGAATTTGAGATTCTGTGGGAGGTTCATGGAGGTGTGTGGCGTAATCATGGTTGTCTGTCTGTAGAGTTCTCTGAAAACAATCTCGCGGACCCAGCCGTAGACGCCATTGGATGCCTTGGCTTCGGTAAAATCGGTACTGCCGCGATTGTAATCTACAACTTTCTGCAGTGCTTCGCGTACGGAGAACATGCCCGCACTAAAGTAGGCAGACATGCGTGACGTGCTATTTGCGGCAGGATTTGAGCGTGTAGCGGCGTAGTGGTCGATTTGCTTTAGGAACGCATCCATTCGTTTTGCTGCTGCATCGTGGCCGACAGGCCACAGCTTCCGTATCCTCTTCTTGTCTTCTTCCGACTCGAATTGCTTGTCTTTTGCAGGCTGGGGTACGGCTGTATCGAAGAGACTTTTTAGCTCCTTCTTCGCAGAGGGAGGATTTGCGGTAGGTGAAGGGTTAGTGTCAAGCAATTCCGGCTCGTCTTTCAGCCTCTCGAGCCACGCTTTGAAGAAGGGTGTAAAGACTTTCATGGGTGTCCCAGCACCTGTAAGCATTGTACCAGGCTCAACAACGGTCTGGTCATGGTACAATGAGACTTGAATACCATCCCCAGCTGTTTGGCAGAGTTTCAAATCCCTCCGCATCTCATCAATCTCGTACTCCAAGTTGCCAAACACGTGTGAAATCTCCCACTTTTTCATCCAATCCACTGCTGTCTGTACGATCTTCTTCCTATCCTCGCACTCTAGGAAGACTAGCGGTATGTTCAATTCCTTGAGCTCTTTCTGCATGATGCGCAATCCCTCGCACATGAAGTCGACCCTTGCAGGGCTAGTCCCATGCCACGACTCGTCTGCAGCGCAATTGACGTAAAAACATACGAGAGGCTTCCTCGCACTTTGGGCAAGCTCGGAAGCATGATGCAGCGCGGTGTTATCTTGAATGCGGAGATCTTTTGGACGAAACCAATGCGCTACCTTTGTCACAACCTTGATTTCCTCTTGTGCACCGAGGGCTTCTTGAACTTGATCGTAGGGAAGATTATCATCTACTCGTTTCGCGCGTTTGAGAGTCGTATGCCCGAGTTCGGAGCGTTCGTATGATGTTCTTTTGGACATGTTCGTATGGGTCTGGGATTTGTTCGGCTGTGCGGGCTTTTTTGGCGGTGCTCTACTTTGGAAAAGAGTCGCGTGTTGAAACGCGCGGATCGGTAGTCGTACTTTGACACTAACACATCTATATTGAGCAGCTGCCGGCCTAGGTAGAGTTTGCAATAAGAAGACGCGTTCGAAGGAAGGCATTGAACATGCGCTCTGCGCTTAGGCGTACCTTTGTACCTGATCATCGATAAACCTTAGACTAAGGGTTCAGAGTGGTGACGTCGGCGGACCACCCAACCACACCAACTAGAGCCGATCAAGACGTTACCCTGATGGACACCTGGCGTCGAACACCAATCGAAGGCATGCCTATCGGCGTTTCAGACACAAGATCTGGAGAGATCCCTGGCTCCCGCTGCATTTCGCGATCTGTCGCCGCTTCCTGGGATCTTGGTGCTTTGCATAGGGCTGCATTCGATTCAGGGTTCCAGGCGACGACGGTGGATGTGAGCACGCGACAAACTACGTTGCTAGTGCGAGGTGTTAATGCGACCGACATAATTCCGCTCTAACGCGCAGGCAAGGAGTTGCATAATTTCCATGTTGGAGTTTTGTTGGTCTGACAGATTGACCGCAGCCGAATCATGCCAGCCGGGCACGCTGCCTAGTTGCTGACACGTGATGCGAGTCTTTCGGACTGCGATCAAGCTCTCTTCCTTGAGCTCGTCGGCACCATATCCGTCGACGAGCTAGGCTAGCAAAGCTTTGTCGTGTTGTGTCGATGGCCCTCACTACGATGGCGAATGGAATTGCCCCGTCCGGAGCACACCGTAGGCATCAAAATCCCAGCCGCTCGCAATACCCCATCGCCAAGGGAAAATCTACGGGGATACCAATTTTGGTTTCCACGAGAGAACCATTGAATAGCGAATCAGATCATAGCTGTGCGGAACGTGACGCCAAGATGTACCAAGCCACGCCAAGTCCTCATCCTCCAGCCTTCCATTAACTGGCAGAAACGTGCATGTCTTTCCCAATGAGGCAGCTCGTTAAGATTCTCGATGATGACAGTGGCTCGCGGCGCGGACCAGGCCAGCGGAATGGGGACTGGGCCCAGGTAGCCGGAGTCTTCCTCTCGAGCAGTAAGAGCGCTGTGTTATCGCACGAGGGACGGGAAAAGGCACTTAATGCACCTTGTACTGCAGAGGAAGGCATGCCTCGGGTATGAAATGTGGACGCTAGTAGCTAGATACGCGGGACATAGTCTGATTCGTCTTGATGCATGTATGCAGGTCCGGGAAGCTCTGTGAGCTTATAAAGGTTGGAGCAACAGCTTCCCAGAATGTCGGTTCATCGCACTTTTGAGAGTCTTGCCCACTTACTGATCTCTCAATCGCGTTCGTTATGAAGTGTACATGCTCAGCTGTCGTGGCTGCAGCCCTTTTGGTCGGGTCTGTCTCCGCGCAGACATTCCGCCGTCTGGGAGCTTGCCCAACGCTCGGTTGCGTGTTCCCTCCTGACCAGTAAGCATGCAGATTGAACGAGCTCAGAGAGCTCAATTGCTGATACACAACTCAGGGCCGACTTTCTTGCGGGCCAGTACTTCGACATCCGTCTAGAAGTTCACCAGCCAAGGAACGGATCCGAGTTCATCGGTCTACCTCTGGATGAGCAGTTTACCTTCACTCTTGGAAAGAAGGGCGAGGAAGCGAAGCTAGTAACAGAGTTTTTCAACCTCGAAGAACCCAAATTGGAGAAGTGGAACTTCACATGGTACGAAGACCTCTTCGCACGCGACGCGACGAGGCCCTCCCTTGTTAACGTTGCGGCTAAAGCCTACCGCCGCATCGCTCTTTACGAACCTGGCGAGTACACTGCTACCCTCAACTATAACAATGGAAGCAAGACGGAAGCTACTTGGCTCGTTCGCGACCTGGCTGAGGAGCGCAAGGCCAAGAACATCGTTCTCTTCATCGGTGACGGGATGACCACAAACATGATCACAGCTGCTCGTTTGATAGGCCATAAGCAGGTCAACGGCAAATACCAATCTCTCATGGCCATGGACAAATTCCCTGTCGTTGGCCACCAGATGACCCACTCGATCGACAGCTTCATCACCGACTCCGCTAACTCTGCTGCTGCGCTCAACACTGGTCACAAGTCAACAGTCAACTGTTTGAACGTTTATGCGGTACGTTTCTTCCATCTCGTTGCACACTTGTCTGTATCATCATTTTACTGACAAATAGTATAGGACAGTAGCAAGGATCCTTTTGATGACCCGAAGGTTGAGAGCATTGCTGAGATCTTTCATCGTCTTACCGGAGGTCATGTAGGAATAGTATCGACAGCATACATTGCGGATGCTACCCCTGCTGCCTTGGTATCGCACACCCGTCTCCGTAGCCAGTATGGAGCTATCGTCGATACCTACCTCAATGGTGTCCAGAACTACACATGGACAAACGTTCCTCTCGATGTCATTTTCGGTGGTGGTGCCGAGCAGTTCTACCCGTCTGAACTTGGAGGTGTCACGTATCAGGACAAGAACTACTATGATGAGTTTGCCGCGCAGGACTATCAGATCATTCAGAACCGCACTGCTCTGCTCTCTGCCAGCAACGAGGAAAAGGCTCTTGGTATCTTCACCACCTCCAATATGGCCAAGTGGCTCGACCGCAATGTCTACCGTGACAACCTCAACCAATCGCTTTCCCCTACTGGAGATGAGACACCCGCTCTTGATCAGCCGGGCCTCAAAGAGATGACCCTCAAGGCCATTGACATCCTCGAAACCCGCTCAGGTGACAAAGGATGGTTCCTTATGTCAGAAGCCGCCAGCATTGACAAGATGATGCACGCTCTCGACTATGATCGCGCACTCGGTGAACTTCTCGAACTCGACGACACGGTGAAGGCCACTATTGACCACCTCAACTCCACCAACTGCCTCAAGGAGACTCTGATCCTTGTCACTGCCGACCACGGCCATGGCTTCGATGTCATGGGCTCCGTTGATACCCACTATCTAGCTGCCCAAAACGTCGACCGCAAGAAACGCAAGTAATACCCATGTACGAACTGTTGTGAGACATTAACTGACTTCGTACAGGCAATGCTGTGGGGACGTACGAGCAATCTGGCGAATCCCAATACATCAACACCGGCAATCTGACGTACACGTAAGTTGGAACTATACGAAATGCACGTAAGACATACACTGACATCATACTTTCTCAGAGATTCTAACTTCCCGTCGAATTGGGATCCACGCTACACGCTCTTCCAAGGCCTGATGGCAGATCCCGATCGCCGGGAGAATTGGTCTGTCCGCAAAAATGGTCCCCGCGAGCCCGCCGTCGAAATCGAAGAAGATAGCAACGACAACTACGCTAACCCCGAGGATGGCGAGGGCGGTATCTTGCTCAATGGTACGCTGCCTGTCGAGAACGACCAAGGTGTGCATTCGTTGACGGATGTGCCTGTCTATGCCATGGGCCCATGCCAGGAGCTCTTCCAGGGGACATACAACAGCATTGATATCTTCTACAACATGGCGACTTGCTTTGGCCTAGGAAGAGGCAAGCCAAGTGCTGAAGAGTAGAGCGTCTTTTTAGATGGGTGTTGAAGAGAGAGGGGCTCAGGCCTCATGACGACGTGGACGATGATCATGTTGTGGTAGTACTAAAATCACGTCTACTCTAGAGTAGCTGTAATGAATTCTTGGTGATGATATTACTTCGTGCAACATTTGAGTTGTCCTTGGTTCGAACATAAAGTGTGTTCACACAACTTCATCGCAGGAAAAAGCTGCCACGGAAAGTGATGTGAAAAAGTCTTTAGTTGCTTTTCGCGATTGCCATGGTTATCAGAATTTGATCATTCATTAGTTTTTACGTGTTGGGGTGGAACATGAACAGACGGGTGCTGCATGAAAGCGTCACAGTGTTGTTATGTAACCAATATCCTGAGAAGGTCTTTGGTTTTTGTTATCACTAGGAAAGCCACTGTGGAGCCAAATGCTATCACAGTTCATGGCAACAGCACCCTAACAACACAGTTCCTGCGAATGTCACGGCCAACCAAGCAGATTGCCTCGCGCCTACTAAGGTTTCCACGGGTATCGGTAGCGTCCATCAGTTCCGTAACGAACGTAAGGCTCGACTTCACTTGAACGAAATCATTAGCACCACTTGATAAGAATCCATCCTCACACCGAGAGCAGTGTATTCTCACAACTCCCGCCTATTCTTGGCCAGTTCAGCTTGTTGGCGTAGGTTCGGCGCCGTGGTGCTAGCCTCGCCGCTTTGAACGCCCTGCTCCATATCGGCAGCCCACAACGCAGCGCCAACGGTGTTTGTGAAGGAAAAGAAGATTCCGGCAATCGGGACGAGTTCGAGGAGGACAGCTGGGATGCCGAAACTATGCAAGGTTAGTGGTCTGAATATGACTACACGTAGACGGACCGACCTAGCATATGCGGCCTTGCGCTCGTCAATGAAGCGCTCCTTCTCCTGCTTCTTCATCTGCTTGAGTTGGAAGTAGCGGGCATGTGCGGTGGGCCCAAACTTGCGTCCTTGGAGGATGACGAATAGTACGGTGCCCACGACTGGGATGAAGTTGAGCGGAAGGTACATGAAGTATCGGATGATGGCGCTGGGGGCGAATTTTGCGAAAGGCTTCGAGACGAGCTTGCCCAGTTTCGCAACAGGGTCAGTTCCCGACTTTACCTGGCGCTCTTTGGAAACTAATGTGGTCTGGTTGCGGCTGACCAAGGTTGAATCAAAGGTATCAATAAGCGCTTCGTCAATGAGGAAGTTCTTGCTGAGAACCGAGAAGATAGTGGACGACTCGCTGAGTACGAGCAGAACCGTGGTGAAGACTGCGAGTGGTCCGTTGAAAAGGGTGAGAAGTGCGACTTGGGGAATGTATGTGACGGCAAACATGAGCACGGTGACACCAAGACCGAGCGAGACAGTAGGGACCAGTTTCGCAGCGAGAGGCTTCCATAGAGCACGGTGTGTGAAGAAGTACGCAATGCCCTTGGGTCATGTCAGTGTTGTGCTTTGAATGCCATCCCCTAGTGTGGTCGAGAGGGCCGAAAAGCACTCCCAGACCGGCCACTCCAGGCAAACGTCGATGCAATGTAGGTAGCAAGGATTCAGACGCGTACCTTGAAAGGGTAGAGATATGCGGCCGAGCGGACAGCTTCTGAGGCAAGCTGTCTAGCTTGGTTGAAGTCTTCCTTGGCGACTTCCTTGACCTTGTCGGGTACTCTCACTCTGGACTCTGACATGGTTGCAACGGATAGATCGGAAAGGTTAAGAAGATTAGGAAGTAGGGAAAGGCGTCTGAGTCGTGATGGAAGACAAGTGGTGTTCCCTTGCCCAGGTGTTGGTGGGGTGAAGCTATGGAATGTGGAAAACTACGTCATAATCGCGTACTTGGCCCAAGCTCCAATCCTAACAACGCGGACTCTGTCCCTGCGCCAACTACGTCGTTTGAGCAGATAACTTGTTACCGCAGGAGAGAAGAAACCCGAGAGATGGTACATGTTGATTGTATAAAATGCCAATAAGGCAAGCTGGGACGGTAGCGGATCAGTGCAAGGCACGTCATACAGTGCTGGTTTTGCGCATTTGCTTTGAGGTGCAGGGAATCCTGCGTAATTGCAATGTCAGGGCAATTTGCTATCCCGCTGATGCTGCAATAGTTCAGAATAGTCCACCTATGGGCGATGGCTCAGGAATGCATTTCCAAGGCACAAGTTCAGGAGTGAGTCCATGCCGGATTCGCACGCTTCTAGGCCCTTGACAAAGTCCCCACCGTGGCCATTGTGCCAGGTAAATGTGGCGGTGTTATCAAGATTATACAGAAGATCTGCTACAAACACGCGTCAAGGACCAAAAATCCGATGCAAGACAGGGTAAATCAGGAATTGAAGACGTGGCTAAGCTTTCCTCTTCCCCACTTTCCATGCACCGGATCGCAAAATGACGCAGCGCCAGCCGCGTGCTAGCCCCCACCACGACCGAACCGGACATTGGCTAGCTGCATCCGTCGCGAAGCCCCTCATCGAGGGTCCAGCGCTGGAGTGGCTGATGTAATTAGCCAAATCTTGTGGCAGCGGCAGACAGGAGAGAACGCCACGGCAGGTATAAGCTGAGGGATTAGGGAAAGAATACCGACCCATGGCCGGTTGGGGCTTGCAATGGCCACGTTTGAAAACAACAGGCACATCGTGCATGACGTCCGACACGAGTTGAGCCAGGTATTCACCAGTGGCTGTGCTAGGGGATAGAGCCAAACGCCTCGTATACTCGAAAAAGCTGCGCGGATGTGCAGCCTACGTTGGGATAAAATCAGCAATTTAGAAAGCGTAGCGTCAATGTAGGCTTCAGCGTGGTCAGCACTTCCCTCGATCAAGGTGCCAAGACCAAAGTAGGAAACAGGGATGTGAGCAGTGACTGCCCAGGTGCCGTTTGTACGACGTGTGCTGATGCAAAGGCATGACGTAGGACCATGGGTCTCTCTGACTTTGGCCCTCGCCTGTGGTGTATATATTAGACCACCAGCGCTTGCTTTTGGTGACCATCTACGCAACGGCGATCACCACACCCACGCAACACTCTAATCAACTTCATTCAAGCCCAATCAGCTATCTATACCACCTCTTATTCAAAGTTCACACCGCGATCATGTCAGGAGTGATGGACAAAGTTAAGGCCAAGGTCGACCAGGTGATGCACAAGGACAAGACCCATGGTAAGCACTTCCTGCAGACTGCCGAGGGCCTGAAGACCACCGTCAGCTACTCACACTTCTCTAGATGATCCCACCGGTCCTCACAGCTCTCATACTGCCAACACTGCCGATCCTACTGTACCTAATACTTCCAATGCTACCACTGGCACTGGGGGCTTCTCCGGTACCCACCATGGCTCTGGTGTAAGCACTGGCCTCGGTACTTCTGGTAGCCATGGCGAGCGCAACCCCGAGTACACATCTTCTACCCATGGTTCTTCGGGTCTTGGGTCATCAGCCACTCATGGGAGCACTGGTCTCGGGTCCTCAACTACCCACGGCTCTACCTCTCACAATGACCCTACCGGTCCTCACGGCTCCCACACGATGAACAAGGCTGACCCCCGGGTCGACTCCGACCGTCTTGGAAACGCCGGTAACACTGCTGGCGCAGGCGGTTATGGTGCTGGACAGTATGCTGAGTCCCACGGCACCCATGGTACTACTGGCAGCGGCCTCACCGGCACAGGGCTCGGCTCTTCGACTACTGGAGCTTACAGCTCAGGTAACAGCAGTGGACTGACTGGTGGTCACGGCACTGCCGATTTCAACGACCCAACTGGTCCCCACAGCTCACGCATGGCCAACCAGGCTGACCCCCGCGTCGGTGGTGTTGGTAGCACTGGAGCTGGCGCATACAACACTACTGGAACCGGTCTCACCGGCCATAGCACTACCGGTGGTCTTGGACACTCCCACAACGACCCTACCGGCCCCCACGGCTCCCACATGGCCAACTCTGCCGACCCGCGTGTTGGGGGTGTAGGTAGCACTGGCGGTCTTGGCCACTCTCACAATGACCCCACTGGTCCTCACAGCTCTCACATGGCCAACTCGGCCGACCCGCGTGTCGGAGGTGTAGGCAGTACAGGCACAGGAGCCTACGGCAGCAACGCTGGCGGCATCGGCTCAGGCAACATGGGCCAAGGAGGATACACCACAGGTGAGCACGTCAAGACCGTCCCAGGGGAGGTCGGGGGAACAGGCCGTGACAACCTCTCTCACCGCAATAACGAGAGTGGCGATCTTCCCAAGGCCCTCACCGAGCCTGTTTCCCACGCTGAGCCTCACTCTTCTCTGCAACATGACCAACACGTTTCAGGTGGCGCTCACGGCACTCATGGTACCACTGATGTTCACGGCAAGCCATCCATGATGGACAAGCTGAGTAAGTCTTCCCCATGCGGTTGAAAGTTGGATTGACGCTGACAAGACACTCTAGACCCCAAGAAGGACGCTGACCACGACGGCAAGACTGGCATCATGGACTAGATTTGTCGTCGTCTTTTTGCCATCTCACTCGTAGTGTGTTGCGAGAGCAAGTCACATGGTGGTTTTGATGGTGTGATTTGCATGAATACCCCCAAGTAGCGTAGTAGCTCAATGAATAGTAATCTCCCTGTCAATTTGGTTCTGTCGCAGTGCTCGCTCTTGATGAGCAATGTTATACTTGTCTGTTATATGCATCCATGATGCTGTTAACATAGATCTGTGATTTCGCATGTACTCGCACATGGGGTATATCCTCGTCAGTGCACTCAGATCAAGTGTATATACTCCGTGCAATGGTGTCGAAATTATAAGAAGTTTGATTAGGGGGTATCATTACTTTTTGCACAAACTTGCCAATGCATACGGCGACCACTCGCTCGCCGTATGACGGGAGTGAATTCAAATATTCAGAGGTTTCGAGATGTGTCGCACAGCCCAATGGACTCTGTGAAAACCCATGGCCATGAAATCACTTGGCTTTTCCCTTGCCCCCCTTCCTGTTTCCTTTACCACCAATCCCTTTCTTCTTGTTTTGGTTCAACGAGCCATCAAGAAGCGCGCTAAAGGTCTCACTCCGCGTCTTGGGCGCGCGATCTGGGGTCGGCACTACAGGCTCGTCTTCCTGTGAGTTTTGCGTCGAAAGCCTCTTGTTCCTCGTCCTCGTTACGCGCTCCTCTGCTCTTGAGGGTGTTGCAAGGCTGACTGTGTCCAAGTCCTGCCTGGTCTTTGTTGTCTTGTTGTCTCTCTTTGCGGGGCGACGGCGCTTTTTGGGCTGCGGTGTGCCGGTATCTGGCGCGGGTTCTTGTTGCGATTCGGCAGCTGCGTCGACGCGAGCTTTCTTGGGAGCCGGCTCTGCTTCGTCGGAGCCTTGCAGGACGTGGCTGTCCGAATAGTCCTCCTGAGCATTGAGCTCATCGACAGCCCTCTTGCTGGACGTGGCGTCAGTAGACTCGAGGGCGTTGCCGTCGGAGTCGAATTTCTTGTTGATGTTTTGAGCCTTGAGGTGGGCGCGGGCCTTCTCCTTGGCCATGCGCTCCTGCCGCTCCAAGTCGTACCTGTCGTTGCCAGCCAGGCCGTGCTTGATGAAGCGTTGGGCGGCGCCAAGGTCTAGTCGCGCTCTGCCCTCGGCGCTGCCCATGACGCCGCGGTCCTTGATGTGCTTGATCTTGCTGTTGTACTGCTTGAGACGGGCAATTTCCTTGAAGACATGGTGTTGCGTGGCATTGACGCCCGACGCCTTGAGCACGGAGAAGAGAATAGCTTCGATGGCGTATGCGGACATGCAGTAGAACTCTGCCTTGTCGAGGAGCGGGAGAGAGGACGCGGTCGTGTGAAGAGGCGCGGCCAGCAGAGGGTCGAGCGCGGCGGTGAGCTCATCGATGTTGACTTCGAGGTCCTCGACGAGGTCGGGGAGGTCGGTCTGCGGGTCCATGGTGGTGATGGAGGTCAAGCGGTCGCATGCGCACGCCAAAGAAAAGTAGCGGGCCGAGCGCTCCGACGTGCAAGCGTCGGATCGCTCACAGCAGACAGCCTCACTCACTAACTCGCCTCGGCCCCGAAGCCCATGGGAATCCCAAGTCGTTCAAGCTGTCGTTCTCCTCCGTTTCACCCTTTCTCCCCAGGCTCCGGCCTCGGATACCACACGCACCATCACGATGCGCCGCCGGTAGCCATCGCCCACGCCGGCTGGCTTCCGCTCGGACGAGAGCCTTCATGACGAGCTGGCCGCCAGACGCTACAGCAGGCAGCACGGGCGCAACCAGCCACACGGCCGACTTCTATCGCAGACAGCCTGTACTCGACCGACGCATTCACATAATCGGTGTCGGCAACGTGGGCAAATTCATTGCCCACGCCCTGCGCGGCATACCCAACCCTCCTCCAGTAACGCTGGTATTCGGGGGCTGGCAAAAGTTCAACGAATGGAACGACTCGCAACGCCGCCTGGCCCTCGTCACCGACGGCCGTGTCGACACCAGAGACGGCTACGATGCCGAGCTAGCCATCCCCCGTCTTCGCTACCATGGCCACGAGGTCGGCCTGAATCCCTCCTCGCTAGACACGACCCAAGGCCCTCAGATGCTGCCTGGCGAGTCTGCTGAGCCCATCAGCTCGCTCATCGTCTGCTCCAAAGCCCCCCATGTCCTGCAGGCCATCTCCGCCGTAAAGCACCGGCTGCACAACGACTCGGTCGTCTGCTTCCTGCACAACGGCATGGGCGTCATCGACCAAGTCAACGCGGCCGTCTTCCCGGACCCTGAGCACCGGCCACACTATATGCTCGGCATCAACTCTCATGGCATGCACGCCTCGCCACACAGTCGCTTCACTACTGTCCACGCTGGTTTCGGCACCCTCTCGCTGGGCATCCTACCCCACCAACGAGACGGCCATGCCAACGAGCCCTACACCCCCGAGTTAAGATTCTCCGCATCAAGAGATGGCAAGCCCGTCTACCCGCACCCTCCAGACAAACTCAATCCAGAGTACCCACCCCCAAGGAGCGCCAAATTCCCCTTCACGCCTAACCAACGCTATCTACTTCGCACCCTCCTCCGCACTCCAGTACTAAGCGCAGCCTCCTTCTCGCCCCCCGATCTCTTGCAAATCCAACTCGACAAGTTAGCCGTCAATTGCATCATAAACCCCCTAACCGCCCTCCTCGACGCGCGCAACGGCGCCATTCTGAACAACTACGCCTTGACCCGCACAATGCGCCTCCTCCTATCCGAGATAAGCCTCGTCATTCGCTCCCTCCCCGAACTCCAATACATTCCCAACGTGTCCCAGCGCTTCGACCCAGGCCGCCTTGAAACCGTGGTTGTGGCCGTTGCACACCGCACCAGCGACAACGTGAGCAGTATGCTAGCCGATACGCGTCAGGGTGCGCACACCGAGATTGACTATCTCAACGGCTGGATTGTGAGGCGAGGCGAGGAATTGGGTATTCGATGTGCCATGAACTATATGGTTATGCAGTTGATCAAGGGCAAGAGCATGGTGGTGCAGCATGACATGGAAGAAGAGCTTCCCCTGGTAGGGAGTAAGAAAGGGGGGAGGGCGGAGGCGGACTTGGTGATTAAGAGGGATGGCGCGGAAGCCCACAAGAAAGGCACACCGTGAGACGGCATTCGTCTTTGACGCTACGGCCAAACCTTTTGCACAGTTCGACTACACAGCGCTCCACGGGCTATCAGAATCAATACTAGATACAATCCGCAGAGCAGAATGCGCCATCAGTCGCCATGTCCTGTCCCTAGAGCGTAGATCTGCTTATATCCCGGCTTCTGATGATGCACATGTCCACCCAAGAGCCGGTAGGCATAACAGTAGAGCAATCGAAAGAACAGTAGCGTCCTTGTAATTCTCTCGATACCAAAGAAGTAAACGACAGATTGCGATTAGTAGAACTGCAGGCGATGGACATGGTCAATGTGTATATTTCTTCTCCTACTCTTCATCGTTTCTCTTTCTTGTCCTATCTTCCAAGAGCTAGTATTAGATAAAGCTATAGTACATTATGTGTAAAGACACACATCCAACATGTTTAGTCAACCAGACCAATAATACTCCTGCCCACCGCAAACCCTTCCCCCAAAGCTTCTTAACCAGAACAAAAGACTACCAGAAGAACTCCCGGTATCCATCAAACTCAAGTTCCCACCATCCCGAGACGAGAACTAGCAGCGAAGATACCTCTCTTGCTATGTGTATATCCGACAGTAACGGGTCCGTAAACCTACCCCTCTAACAAGCCACTGAAGATGCTCAACAAGTAAAGAAAAACAACCAAAGCATTCGCCTCTTACTCGCCGTATACAAACGTCAGCTAGGATAGTGTAAGATGATTGAATAAAAGAGTAATGGTCGTGTAAAACTCCAAGCACAGGACCGGTAAACAGCGAGTTACCCAACAAGAATCAGCCAGTTACTGCATCATGTATGGCTCAGTCGAAAGCACCAGGCATGCTCGTACCGGGCATCCTCAAACTAAGTCTACTGCCACTGGCATCCTTCTCTCTGCTCGGCACAGCAGGTGCAGGGTTCGAAGAGGAACGTTGACGCTGTAGGCGCGGATCCTCCAGCTTCGTCATTTCCTGTTCCTGTTCAGAGACCGCTGTTGCTTTCCTGGTATCGAGAGACTTGTTCACTTCGTCTTGGAGTTGAGCTTCAGCTTGCTGTTCAATATCCTTTTCCTCTTCCACTGTCAATGAGGGTATGGACGGGGCTGCAGTGACAGACTCATTCTGACTACCGTGGTGAGCTTCGGCTGACGATGTTTCGGCTTCCGGATTGGCGATTGTCTTGGACTCTGAGGTCAAAGCGTCGTTGTGCTTCAAAAGGACCGTCTTGCCAATGGAAATTCTCTTGACCTTATCACCGCTTTTGCTCCGAAAAGGGTCTTCATCGCTCTTCCTTGGCTCATTCGCCATCGACGCAGCAGAACCACCAGCTGTGATGTCTCGAGGCTCAAACGACATGATGCTCTCTTCACTCATCCTCTCCTCAATCTTCACATCGCTGTTCGTGAATGTGGGACTGCGTGGGCCATCTCGCAAAGGAACGAAGGAAGGAATCACACCGCCACCAACGCGAGTCCAGAACATGCGTTCGCGAAGTCGCACACTCTCTTCCCAGGACGACTTCTTCTCTTCATCCGTCTCTGCGCGCCAGTGCCCCGCTGCTACCATGCGTAGGAAACCAATGTAGTCGCACGTTGCCCGAACGCGACCCAGACACCAGCCACACAAGGGGTAGCGCTGAGAGTCTTCAGTATCGGAGGGCTTGAATCGAAATTTTCGGGCGTACTGATCACCATTCCTTGCTTCGCCACAAAGCGAGCATGGAAAGATGGGAACCCGAAATTTGGATGGAGGAGCAGGGTTCGGCTCTACGACCAGGGAACCAGAAGTGATGCT